GTCGAGAATAAGCAGGACCCCCCTGAAGGGGATGGCGGGCGGGGGGGAGGGGACCAAGCCTGGAAGGCTGCGGGAAGTTTTGAGTAAAACAAATGGCAAACGCATCCCAAGTGGAAAGACCAGCAGGTGCCTGGCTTAACTAACCCCGCGGTCTCCCGGCCCTCGCGGGAGAGGGGTGGCCTCATCTGAGTGAGCTGGGGAGGGCTGGTAGGAGGAGGATGGGAGAGGGCGCAGGAGAGCCAGGCTCCCGGCACGACTCAGAAATGTTTACTCCGGTCGCCATGAGGACGGTAACACCCGGGGATGGGGCCGAGGCGCTGGGGTTAGTGTCAGGGCCCCGCAGGGGGGTGGGGAGCGGGAGGGCGGGAGGGGGCTTCGGTAAACTCCGGTCTCTTGCCCTCAGGAGTGTCCAGACCCCAAGGACTGGAGCTTGCAGGACACGGACGCCTTCGCGCTGGTCTACGACATCTGCAGCCCCGACAGTTTCGACTACGTGAAGGCCCTGCGGCAGCGCATCGTCGAGACCAGGTGGGCGCGGCGGGAGGTGCTGGGGAGCTGGTGCTGGCCCGGCCCGGCCCGGCCTTGGCCCGAGGGCAGCTAGGTTCTCCCGGGGCTCGGGCCTTCCGGATCAGGCTTCTGCCCATGGGAAGGTCTCGGGTTGTGTGAGGTCTTGGCTCCCATGGGCTTGGTGTTTGCTGGGGACCTCGGACTGTGGAAGGGGGTGCGTCTACGCTTACACACCCGCTGGGGGGGACTCCCTGCCCGTGAGGGGCCTGGCACAGCGTCTCACTCCCCATCCGGCCCCCAGGCCTGCGGGTGCGCCTGAGGCGCCGATCCTCGTGGTAGGCAACAAGAGAGACCGGCAGCGGCTGCGCTTCGGACCGCGGCGCGCGCTGGCCGCCCTGGTGCGCAGGGGCTGGCGCTGCGGCTACCTCGAGTGCTCCGCCAAGTACAACTGGCACGTGCTGCGTCTGTTCCGCGAGCTGCTGCGCTGCGCTCTGGTGCGCGCGCGCCCTGCGCACCCGGCCCTGCGCCTGCAGGGGGCGCTGCATCCAGCGCGGTGCAGCCTCATGTGACAGGATTGGACGCCGCTGTGGATGGGTCCCTCGTCTGACTGCAACAACCAGGGGCCCAGCTTGGAGGAGACCGCCCAACCTGCGTCGGATTGGACGGGGCAGTGTCCTCCCTGATTGGAAGAGGAAAGCTCATATTCAGTCTCCTGGGCGACAGGCTTCTCTTTGAACCTCATTGGACCCAGCCAGGCCTCAATCCTCACTGGACACAATCAGTCTTTTCTGGGATCTTATTGGGTCACAATCCCATTGGATGGCCCGGACTTGGTCATGCATCTCTCTGGAAGCTCTCGGACTACCCTGACGCTGTATTGGACACACTCTGCAAGCCACACCTCTGGCGAGGTAATAAAAGGAAAAGCAATTCAAGCGTCCCTGCGACTTCCTGGATGGGCAGGCTTGCTCCTATACCTAGAGGTCAGAGCTAGCAGGTGTGGCCCCAGCAGTTAATGCCAGAGTCCCAACTTGGAAAAGAGCCCTGAAAAGGTGTGCTGGCCCCAAGGCTGAGTCCCCAAGAAACAGACAGGTGGCTGGAGCAAAACTTTACTGTCAGAGGCTCTGCTGGGCTACAGGTCCTCTGGACGCCGGGCTGGCCCGGCCTCCTCTAAGGCATTCAATAATATTAGTAATTAAATAGCAACGCTCATCCCCCAGCCGGAATGTACAACGGAGGTCTCACTGTGCCGTGTGGTCCCAAGGGGTCTGGTCCCATGAGGTCTGGTACTCAAGAGGCGGAGGGGGCTCCCTGATGCAGAGGGGGTTAAGGCCACAAAGGAAAGGGAGAAGGAGTGGGGGCTGGGGGCAGCCGGGCTGGTGCCATCACATCCAGGGATCTGGCTCAGCCCGTGGGGTGACGGAGTGCAGGGCATGCCAGGCCCCGAGCTCCGTGGGTCCCGATGGGCGGCGCGGGCCCCGAGGCGTGGGGATGCGTGAGGGCTTATGGTCTGGCTGCGTGTCCATCCGACCCCGTGCCCAGGCCCGCGAGAGTTCTGCACCAGGTCCATCTGGTAGGGGCCCCGAGCCGGGGCAGGGGCTGCCTTCGTCAGAAGAGCTGGACAGGGCTTGGCTGCGGGGCCCGGGCAGCCCGTTGGCTGTCCGGCCAGAGTCCCCAGGTTGGCCACACTTGCCGCCCAGGACGCTGAGGGACGACGAGGAAGAACTGGAGGAACAGTAGGCTGAGTCGGGAGCTGGGGCGTCCGGGGCGCGAGCTGGGTCAGGGGCTGGTCCAGTGGGGGTCCCGCTAGCAGCTGCCTCGAGGGCTCGGGCATTGGCCAGAAACTCCTCCTCCAGGCGCCGGAACAGCTGCTGCTCCTGCTGCGGGGCGGGCTGCAGGGGGGGGCGGGGGGGGGC